TTTCCCAGCAGGACTCCATTCCACACCAGCAGACCCCCAGGTGATGCTGTGCCCCCCCCTCCGTGTGTTGCCCCCCACCCCCCAAGACACACAGCCTCCTGCCCCCCCCATGGGGAGGGGTTGGTGGCCACGCACTGGCCCCCTCCCCTGCTGCAGCGGTGCCCGGGGACCCCAAAGCCAACGCTGGTCACCAAGGGGGGGGTCCCCCACATCATGCCTCTTTGGCACAGGGCAGGGAGATGGTGGAGGGGGGGGGAGAAGCCCCCCCAAGCCAAGAGATGAGCGGGTGAGTGACAAGCTGGTGGCAACTGGTTGGACTGGTGGCACTGGGGAGGACACAAGAGGAGACGGAGCAGCCCCACACCAGGGGAAAAAAGAAAAAAAGAAGATTTTATTCCACATTTTTCCCCAAAGAGGGGGGGGGGGGTCTTGCTCTCCCCAGCGGGTGCAGGGCTGCTGGAGAGCCAGGGGGGCACCCCACGGTCCCCCCCCCAAATCCAGAAATCTGTGAGATGTAGGTAGTGACAGCCCCTGCCTGCTTTGGGCAGTGGGTCTGGGGGGGTCAAAGCAGGAGCCCCCCCAGCCCTGGAGCTGCCCCACGGCAGGGCTGGGAGGGAGGAAGGAGCCAGTTCTGCGCCCCCACACCTGCAGAAGACCCCTCTCCGTGGCCCCAAAGGCAAAGCTGGATGGGGGGGGGACACGAGGGCATCGTGGGGTCCCCAAACTGCGCAGGGACGTCGCTGTGGGGCTGAGCCCCCCCTTCCCCAGGGTTTCCCCCACCCCCCCAGGGGCTATCGGTGCCGGTGCTCCAGCAGAGCCTCAAAGTCTGGGGAACACACCAACTTGTGCTTCACATGGCCCAGGACGATCATCTCCCCCGTCCGGTTGTCCCCGATGCCAACGGACACCAACTCCTGTTCCAGAGGGGAGAAATGGCCCCGTGAGGACCCCAATCCCACAGGAAACCCCTTCACCGAGGGGTGGAGAAGGGTCCCTGCCCACCATGGAAGGTGGGGTGAAGCCTGGAGGAGATGTGCCCCCCATCCCTGCTACCCACAGCCTGGGGACAACAGCAGGCATGGAGCAGGAACGGTGGGGGGTACCATCACCCTGCTTCTCCATGAGCATAGTCTGGAGATCACCCAGTCCAGGGCCACCCAGAGCAGGTCCCACAGGAACGTGTCCAGGGGAGGGTTTGAATGTCTCCAGAGAAGGAGACCCCACCACCTCCCTGGGCAGCCTCTGCCAGGGCTCTGCCACCCTCAAAGTCAAGAAGTTCCTCCTCATGTTGAGATGGAACTTCTTACCTTCAAGTTTGTGCCCGTTCCCTCTTGTCCTGTCCCTGGGCACCACTGAAAAAAGACCAGCCCCATCCTCCTGACACCCACCCTTTCAGTATTTAGAGGTGTTGATCAGATCCCCCCTCAGCCTTCTCTTCTCCACACTCCAAAGCCCCAAGTCCCTCAGCCTTTCCTCGGAAGGGAGATGCTCCAGGCCCCTCCTCATCTCTGGAGCCTCTGCTGTCCCCTCTCCAGCAGTTCCCTGTCCTTCTGGAACTGGGGAGCCCAGAACTGGTCCCAGTGCTCCAGCTGGGGCCTCCCCAGGGGGGGGTCTTGCTCTCCCCAGCGTGTGCAGGGCTGCTGGAGAGCCAGGGGGGCACCCCACGGTCCCCCCCCCAAATCCAGAAATCTGTGAGATGTAGGTAGTGACAGCCCCTGCCTGCTTTGGGCAGTGGGTCTGGTGAGGGGGGGTCACAGCAGGAGCCCCCCAGCCCTGGAGCTGCCCCACGGCAGGGCTGGGAGGGAGGTAGGAGCCCGTTCTGCGCCCCCACACCTGCAGAAGACCCCTCTCCGTGGCCCCAAAGGCAAAGCTGGATGGGGGGGGACACGAGGGCATTGTGGGCTCCCCAAACTGTGCAGAGATGTCTCTGTGGGGCTGAGCACCCCCTCCCAGGGTTTCCCCCCCCACCCCGGGGGGCTATCGGTGCCGGTGCTCCAGCAGAGCCTCAAAATCCGGGGAACACACCAACTTGTGCTTCACGTGGCCCAGGACGATCATCTCCCCCGTCCGGTTGTCCCCGATGCCAACGGACACCAACTCCTGTTCCAGAGGGGAGAAACGGCCCATGAGGAGCCCAATCCCAAGGGAAACCCCTTCACCGAGGGGTGGAGAAGGGTCCCTGCCCACCATGGAAGGTGGGGTGAAGCCTGGAGGATATGTGCCCCCCATCCTGCTGCCCACAGCCTGGGGACAGCAGCAGGCATGGAGAAGGATGGTGGGGGGTACCATCACCCTGCTTCTCCCTGAGCATAGAAGGATACAGGGTTGGAAGGGACCTCTGGAGATCATCCAGTCCCACCCCCTAACAAAGCAGCTCCACCCAGAGCAGGTCCCACAGGAACGTGTCCAGGTGGGTTTGAATGTCTCCAGAGAAGGAGAC